TGTCCAAGGAACAACCAGCCTTCCAGTACAGCAGCCACGTGTCTCTACAAGCCCCCAGTGGTCACATGTGGTGAGTTCACCGTCTCACATCCCACACAGTGTGTCCTTGAAGCTGATTCATGGGTAAACGTTTAAACTTCAGTCGTGTGTTTTACACCCTTCATGTCTCCTTGTCTGCTACAAGTCAAGTCACTCTGTCTCATTTTTGTTTAGGGGAACGTTTCGGATTGAAAGATCCGATGGCTCGCACTTTGATGTCCGCATTCCTCCTTTCTCACTGGAAAGCAATAAAGACGACAAAGCGCCCCCTGCTGGCTACACGTTCTAACAATGACTTCCATGGTGACGCCTCGGATACCCAGCCAGTCCTGGTCCTACCTGGGTTCCCTACAGTTCCTCTGTGACCCTGCCACAGCATTCAGTCACATTAAGCTGAGGGAAGATGTAGGGTGTCTAGATAATCCAGTTGCTGCTCCACCTTTTTCCCCTGTCCAAATGCACCAAATACCAGTATGTAATTGATTTAAGTGACCGTGTGGAAACTCCCTCTGCTGTTCACGTGGTTTAAGAGACGTGCAGCGAAATGGAAGATCAAACTGATGCTGCCAGATTGAACAGGATGAGTTCTGACATGCAGTTAGTGAAATACGGCGCAGGGTGGAGGATTTACTGCTACGCTCAGGGTTTCACAAAAGTGAGTCTTTAAACTGACACCTCAAAAACCCACATGATGACATTTTTAGGATTTATAGCAACATATCAGTCTGGACCTCTTGCTTTATAAACAACTTGAATGAGTTACGCCTGATTACTGAAAGTCGTGTAAGATGCTAATTTTGATCTGGTTTACAGTGAAGTGAAACACTGGACATCACTGGTCACCTTGGGACGAAACGGGCTCGACGTTTCAGTTAAATCACATTTATGTCAATCCTGAAGATAAAAATCATAACTGATTAGAGCAGTTCCTGAATAAATGAAGCAGCAGCATCTGTGACCGTGTGAGACGTCCTCATGAAGCTGCTCTGTTTATTTAAATCATACGTCCCAAACAGAAGCAGCTCCGTGTGTGTTGGTATGAGCCGACATTAATGAAGCTGGTGCTGCAAGGACAGCGGTGTCATTGGCGTTTTAACCAGAAACGCTCCTCAAACCTGTCCAATTATTCATTTTGATCTTTACAACCTACTCTCTGTCCTCTTCCTCGCTCCTGCCCCACAAGTCCAACTACCAAGTCCATCTAGCAGCCACTGCTCCGAACATTAGACCAACTTGCAGTGATTCATGCTTCTTACAACGCGGGCTTCTTTTGTTCTTATTCAGCTCTAATGAATAGATCAAGTTTCAGCACAACAAACTGTCTAAGAACAGAAAACGACCCAAGGAGCATGAATCTCAGCTGCAGCTGTATGATTTAGAACTACTGCCTGATTCGTGTTTTTGCTTATAAAATGATCATGTCTACATGCTTTGGACTTGCAGTGAATTACAGTTTACTCACAACAGCAGCTGGAAACCTCAAGTCCAGAGACGTGTCCTGCTGCTCATCTAGCTAGCTGGGATCTTTGTATTCACTGATCTACTGGATCAAACGTGGAGGGAAATGCCTTGATGCTGTAAAACTGAGCTCACCCATGACCATAGCTTCCACTCAATAACCTTTCAAAATAAATCATGATGGCAGAAACGTACTGGGATACTTAGTTTTATTCGTATCTTGTTTTCTGGGAGGAAGGTGCTTCAGACTGTTGGGGATCTTGTGTTAAAGGCTTTTGCCCATTTTCCATCTGGGTAACTCACAACTTCTATTCCTCTCTGGTAAACCTTTAGGTGCCCTGCTGCAGCTGAACATTCAAATGGTTTGAACAAATGTGTATTGGAAGAGTCTCTGGACCTTTGTCTCAGTGTGAGGCTGCCACCCACAGGCTTTATGCTGCATGTGCATTAATGTTGCCTAAAACAGTCACAAATGAAGGATTGCTTTGATTTAATTCCATTAGTTGACTGTAAAATATCTTGGGACATTAAAAAAAAGCTTCCCAGTTGTAGGAACTGCCCAGAAATACATATAACTCCTAATAATTAGGACAATAAGAGTCTTAACATTATGACTTGATCACTGAAACTGGGAATGAAACAAAATCCTCCACTTTTTTCTTTTCTTCCCAGTAACCCTGATAAGTCGTCATATTCTTTCTCCTGTTCGGCAGTTGTTTATTTGATCAACCTGCTGCACATCTGTTGTCATGATGCCATCGTTGATTATAAAACGAAGCCGGCACATCTGGATGCATACATGATGCGCTACACGTAGAACTTCTGTACAGTGATCAGACCGCACCAGGTGCACTTCAGGTGTCGCAGTAAAGCAACTGAGCGCTGAGTATGTGAGACTTCTATGGGTATGTGTTCACACTAAAGTCCACCAGGTTAAAAAAAACTAACAAAGATGTCCGCTGTGATTCTCTGTTACTGAGATCAAACTAGGAGTGCTACATCCGACAGCCAAAAGAGACACCTGATTATAACGGGCTATGGTCGTTCTATAACAAAAGCCCAGCGATGTGTTAAAGGAGAGGCCAGAGACATGTCTGTCCTGTTTTTGTTTTTTTGGTTTGTTTGTTTTTAAATGTCTGGCTGTTTGAATTTGCAGAACAGGAGTTGTGAGGCTAACATCTCTCCCTTTACGTGAAGAAACTAATACTGTTGCTTTAGGGAGGGGTTTGAAGCAACTACAATGTTTGAAATGCTGTAAATAGATGTAATTAAAGGCAAAATAAACTTTTCAAAAAATATCCGAGTTGATATTTATTGCACATGGCTGAGATTGAAAGCTGTATTTGCTCGTTTGTCTCTAGGGTTGGTAAAATATTTTTGTACAAGTTTTAATGGCACTTCCAGAGAACAGTCTGTAGATGTATATCTACAGGTCAATCCCATTTTAGATGCCCATTACAGCTAACAACCTTAGCAAACAAAGCCAAAGTGCTTACAAAATGAAGAGCTAAAGTTTTGTGTGGTGGGAGCTGAAACTGGTCTCTAACTACTGTACACTCAGAGCGCACGGTGACAGCCAACACAAAAGATGTCTAACCAGTGGCGGCTGGTGGAGGTTTGTCCAGGGGGGCTACAACTTCAAAAATACACATAAAGCTAGTTCAGAAGATCTTGGTTTGACTGCTGGAGGAATGTGCCACCTAAATAAAATCAAGCTCGTTATTTGAGTACTCATTAAATATTTCTAATAGTAAAGGTCCTAATATTACACCGTTCCTTAGCACACAATATAGCAATAGCATTTCACCATTTCAGTGTACTGTACCTTCAATTTAAATGCTTCAATGTTAACTAGGAGCTATTATTGCAAGAGGCTTTTTTTGTCATAATCCAGATCAGTACAAATGCAGGCGTTCATAAATAGTATAACATTATCAGTGAAATTTAGTATGGAAAAGTATTAATGTTTGATAAATATTTTTTCTATAAGCATATTCAATAAAATGTAGCAATGGCACTGATTTATCACAGAGCTCTATACAATAACCTGGAGGCTAGTGCTAGCATGCTAGCTCCAGAAACAAACTCGCCAGTTTCCACTTGGAGAATACACAGTCAGCTGAAGGTTTTTTCACAAACAGATATCTTAAAGTTGAGGGGCATATCAGTCAAATGGCAACAGAGGCATTAGATAAAAGGCTTTCAATGGCTTAAAGCATACCTGCAGCAGCTAACCTCGCGCACACAGCCTGGTTGTGTCACTGCACGATCCATACTGTGCAACCGTACTCTGGGCGCAGGAGAGTAGCGCCCAGAATGGCTCTATTCTCTTGTATTGATTAGGAGCTAGTGCGCATGTACAATTTTTAATGAGTCTATGGGCAAATATTTTATTGCCCCAGGGTGGAAATGCGTCATCAATCAGAGACGACGTTGAACGAAACAATACTTGTTAACTTTATCTTACACACACATATATATATATATATGTATGTATATATATATGTATATGTGTGTGTATATATATATATATATACATATGTATATGTATATTTGTGTATATGTGTGTGTGTATATATATATATATATATATATATGTACATACATACATATACACATACACACAAACCGGATTCCAAAAAAGTTGGGACACTAAACAAACTGAATAAAAACTGAATGCAATGATGTGGAGATGGCAAATGTCAATATTTTATTCATAATATAAC